TTTACTGTCATTTCAAATTTTAGGAGTGAGCAAGCCAGAATAGGACTGTATATGTTTTTTGCAGGGAATTTAATTGCATGTCATTTAATGCACTAAATTTCCTCTGAATGTTTTCATAGACAAATACTATGAGTGCTTGAATTTCTTGTATAAATTTGAAAAGACCACTTTTTACTATCTCTATGGCTTTTTCTAATTGGTGATATCTCAAAAAATTTGTTTTATGCTACTGTGGAAATCTGAATTTCTTGAGTAATTTCCAGGATTAACAATGAATAATAAACACAAGAACAACTGTGTGCATTCCTTCATTTAGACATTTGTTTAAAACTTATCGACTTAATGTTCCCTGTTCCTTGTACAAATTGTTTATGCATATTGAAATATCAAAATCATATTTGAGTTAACTATTTTATTTACTCTAATATTGATACTGATTTTTCATCTCATCCAGTATTCCATTTTCTTTATTTGAAATAATTAATAATATTTCCCAAATTTTATGAAAGTTTTGGAATATTTTCTCACACTTTTCACTTTTCTATATAACTAGATTTGCTCTCTATATCCATATTCTGTTTAATTTCCCATGATATATATATCCCCAAAACAGATGCAGAATTTTGCAATATTTGATTATTTCCATGATTATATTTAAAATGATTATCCTCACTTTACAAATATTTTGGATAATTTTATTCATATTTTTCACTATATCACTTGATTTTACTATATCCACAGTATTGAGTTTTTATTTCATAAAACAAAGTATATATTCCAATTAAACAATATTAGGTCCTGAATTTTATAATGATTATTTCCAATTTCACATTCACGTTATCAAAACGTTAGGAATATTTTGGAATATCTTACTTTTACTTTTCACTTTATCACTAGATTAGACTATATCCATTTAATGAATTTAACATTTTATTTCATTTCCATGATATATATCCCATTTAAACAGGTGAATCACTCTTATAATATATCCTGAAATTTATAATGAATGTTTTCAAAATAGCATTTAAAGCCACAGAAACATGCTGAACTTATTTCTCCTACTTTCTAGTTTTGATTTTTTATAACCTTTTAGATAACTAAATCCATATTATTAAAATTGAATTTCCTTGAGTGAACACAGTATTTTTTGCACAAAAGTACTCTTATAATAGATTTCAAAGAAAAACACTGCAAGGTATACTCCAATATAATTTCTAGTTTTACATGTTCATCATCATGTTAAAGCCACACAACACATTTTAAATGAATTAATTCCTCCTTGATACCTTCATGACAATCCATTCTGGGGAAAAACAAGTCACATTTTAAGACGCAAAATTACTATAAAAAGGCATCTGAGAAGTGAATTCAGATAAAATGAATCCAATATTTTATGCACATTGGTACCAATAGATTTCAAATATTTCAAATATTATAATCCAAAATAAAAATCTTGAAGGGACATATGAAGAAAATTTATGCAGAACATATCAATCTGAAAATTGAAACTGAAAACACCTGGATAGCTCTTACATTTTTCACTGACAACTGGACAATACTATGTATAAGGGTTAAAAATTTGAAGAATCATTAATTATGTAAAAACTGTTTTAATTTTCATACATATTAACATATTGTTAATAAAATATTTTACTGATTTTGATTGTTTGGTAAATTTTAGAAATATTATCAAAATTGGGGATTTAGACCAATGCAAACCAAAAATATTTTCTTCCCTTTCAATTTTTTGATAGAATAATCCTAGGTGAAGAAACACTTCAGGGAAAAAGTATGCTGAAAGTTTATGTTAGGTGAATAAAAATTTTTACAGGTAGCATCAAGGTAGACTCAACTCTAACAATACCAACTGGTCAATTTAAATGTCCCTATTGTATTGTCAATTTAAAAATCTGGTTGAAAAATAGGTAAAGGTAAACAGCAACACCCATAGTCAATTCACAGTAACGGCAGATATAATTAGTATTTACAAAGGGATTGTATTGCTTTAAGAGTTATATAATACACCTTGCCTAAAAAATAGGTCTAGCTAGGTCCTTGATAAAAAAAAAATGAGCCTATAATGATGTAAACTACCATATTTACATAACAGCTGCATTTTTTGCATTTATCAATTAAGGCAACAGTAGTGTACCGCTGTTCGAAACTCATAAATCGATAGAGATAAAAACAAATCCGGGCTACAAACTAAAACTGGAGAAACGCATCAAATATAAGAGGAGGAACAACGACACAACAAAAACACAACATTAAAATGTAACACACACAGAAACGAACTATAATATAACAATGGCCATTTTCCTGACTTGGTACAGGACATTTTAAGAACAAAATCATATATGTACATAGAGAACAACAGATTAAATGCACATGGGTTTAATTACCACCCTAGGCATTAATTTTAATAGGAGGCGCAGCAAATAGGGCAGATTGTCCTATATATGGGGTGTCCCCACATCTACTCTGTTGTTCCTAAGTCTCAAAATTCTGCTGGCCTTGGCTAAGTCCTCAACATCTTTTTTTTTCTAAGTATAGATCAGCAGCTTCTCTAAGGATTAGTAATGAAGCACTTTATATATAGTCCAGTGGCTTAGTCCTATCTCTTTTGCCTCTCTTATTTTCTTATTTATATTATTATTATATTTCTTATATTTTCTTGTAAGCCACCAAGCCACAACTCTTCTTTTTCCTATATTGCCTGAAAACAATGAACCGGTTTTGTTCATTGTTGAGGTCTGTAAAGTGACTTATAACTGCCAACAGCCACATAATATGGACTCTGATGGATAGTTATCAGACTGTTATCTCATTGGCAATCATACAACATCTCCTTATTTTAGTACGATAAATTATTTAAATGACTAACAAACATTAAATCATTTGAAAAAAAAAAAATTCTGCAATAATTTATGTTGTCATTTTGAAAATAAAATTTGGTTGTATAAATGGTGTCACTATGTTTGTGATTGTCAAGCTAGTATAACAATACTATTGTCTGAATCTACAGAAATGGATCATGCTTCAAGTAACAGAAATAACAATGTCACCAGGTCACTTGTAACTTATCTCTTAAATAAGACTATATGGGGTATAAGAGCTTGCTTACAACAGGCTCTTCATAATCATTTTGTTAAATAATTCTACAAAGAAGGGGATAGTCTGTTAATGTATCCTTGACTAAGAATAATGAAATTGCAAGGAACAAATTCACATATTACTTTGAATATTGTAGATCGTTCAGGTAGTCTTGAGCTATTAATTGTACAAAAGAACAACCAGTAGTCATCTTCACTTCACACACACATATATATATACCTTGACAAACAAATAAAAAAGCCATAGACATTGAAAACAATTCATATCTATTCTATTGTCAGTCAGCCTACCTACCGCGAACTGAAAAGTCTCCTAAGATTCAGTAGGTAATTTATGTGAAAATCAAGACTTGCATCAAAAATATCCCAATACTAGAGACAATGGCGTCATTTTTCCTCAGAGCTTTCAGCTCTTCGATTGGGACGAATGTTATTGCTACATCCATATTATGTATAGTTTTGGGATGAATTTTCCCTACTAAATTCATATCATGTATGTGTGTTGGGATGAGTGTGTCATACTCAATTCATATCATGTATAGTTTTGGGATGTTTGTTTCCTACTTCATTTATGTTATGTACAGTTTTTGGGATGCGTGTGCCCTACTTCATTTATATTATGTATAGTGTTTTGGATGAGTGTGCCCTAATTCATTCATATCGTGTTTAGTTTTTAGGGCAAGTGACATATTACATTCATATCATGTATAGTTTTTGGAAGAGTGTGCCCTGCGACATTCATATCATTTAGAATTTATAAATGCATGTGCCCTTCTTCATTTATATTATGTATAGTTTTTTGGATGAGTGTTCCCTACTTCGTTCATATCTTGTATAATGTATTTGATGAGTGTGCCCTACTTCATTTATATCATGTATAGATTTTTGGATGAGTGTGCTCTAATTTATTCATATCGTGTATAGTTTTTGGGGTGAGTGTGCTTTCTACTTTCATATCATGTATAGTTTTTAAAATAGTGTGCTCTTCTACATTCATATCATGAACAGTTTTGGAAGGCAATTTACGTACTACATTCATATCATGTATGGTTTTTAGGATGAGTGTGCCCCACGACATTCATATCATGTACAGTTTTTCGGTGGAGTATGCATAACAACATTCCTAGAATGTAAAGGTTTTCGGAGGGGTGTACCATACAACATTCTAAATATGTATACTCTTTGGGAGTAGTGTGCCATATATACAGGGTTCCATTCTGGTATAGATTTTAGAAGGGGTTTCCCATACAACATTCCTTTATATATTCATTTATAGTTTTTTGAGAGGATTGTGTCATACAGCATTCCATGTTTGTATAGATATTGGAAGGAGTGTGCTATACATCCTTCTTGGCCTGTAAAGTATTTTAAAAGAGTGTACTATATTGCATTCCTATATGAAATGATGAAAATGGGGGGGGGGGGGGATGGAGGGGGTATGATTGCTAATGAGACAACTATTTACCAGAAAAGACCAAACAACGTAGGTTTAAGCAAATATAGTTCACCGTACATCCTCTCACAATAAGCAAAAAGTTTGCAGAGTAGTGAGTTTTAAAAATCCCTGACATGAAAAAATGTAAAACAGTTCAAACTAGAAATCCAACGTGGTGGTTTAAATACAAAAAAAGAAAGGAAAAACCAACATGGCTCACAGTAACCAACATCATCCCCTGAATTAGAGACTCCTGATTTCGGGCAGGCACATACAGAAGATGGCATGGTAAAACATGTTTGCAAGCAATCAACCACCCATCTATCTACAGATAGTGAAACAATATTACATAAGAACTAAATGTAAAATTCAGATAAAGATATTGTTATTGAATGAATACTACTGTAATCTTAGCATGCACAGTCTTAAGTATTTGATTTTTACATTTGAAGAGAATTATTGACAACAGACAATGTTTTAATCCAAAACAAGCTACAGATGAACAACTCAGAACAGAACTTACTGAAAGAGGAAAGAGTGCTGATGGAACTAGAGAACAGATGATCACTAGGCTGCTTCAGGTGGAAAACCGTGAGTATATCGATCATTATCTATATGAGTCTGTAATATTGTCGTATCCTGAAATGAACAGAGATCATTAGATGTTGGTTTAACATTGACGAGTAGGCAACCAATAATTGAAAAAAGTATTAGATTGTATTAAAAGCCTCTAATAATGGATTAGCTTTCATAACACATCAAGCTAAAAATTGAAGTCTAGACCTCTATTTGTGAATGAATTCAAAACAGACCAAAATCCTGAATGATTTTTTTTTTCAGAAACAATGACAGCCAATAACAAGCTAGGTTTCTTATACGTGGTTCATTAAATAAATTAGACATATAAATGGACGAAACTTGAATACATGATTTAAAAATAATATTTTTTTTCAAGTTTTCTTGTTCTAACATTTATAAAAAAGTATGCTTTCTGTTATGGTCAAGTATCAGTAAATTTTAGAAATTCAGAGCTTTTCTTATATTTTATTTCGCAGAAATTATTTGCAGCAATATCATATTTTCATGTAACAATGTACAATTGTATCAAATATTTGGTAAATCACCACAGCTGGAGTCTTCCTATGCGTATCAATAAAAACAAATCATTAGTGTGAATCGTCATCATTATTGATTCATGTGACATATATTGTTTGTCCATGGACCAGTTACTTCCTCTTATGAAAATATTCACCAAATGATAGAAGTTATTCCCTTATCTTAAGTTTATTACTTTTTGCTTTATGTTTTGCTTATGTCTAGAAACAAGGCACAAAATGTGTTCTAATAAAGATCCCTTCGTATTTACATTTAAGCTCTTACGATTTATTGCTTCTTGAAATCAACAACATGAATTTTACAAAACATGATTATAAAGTTTGATTTTGAATTCTTTACCCATAATTTAAATTTTTGGAAATACATTTGTATTTTACATCAAGCTGAGACATTACCTTTATCGGAAAATGCAAATGGCTCTCTAACATCCAATGTATGATGATATGTTAAACTGTTGGATTTTTTTAAACAAAGAATTAATATTATAAACTTATTCAGATTGAATTCAAACAGAGACCATTTATAAAAACAATTAAGTTGTTCTGAAAAATCTTAAAATTACCCATTATTATTTACTGCTTTGTGAAACACGTCATCGGATTGATATACACAATTTTCCTACGTATATGTCAAAAACATATTCATCATTATCTAGATTTGAATTCTCATGTTAAAAATGCAGTTTCTAAACTTGTGTATGTGTAATAGAGGATTATTATCATTCAATTTATAACGCTTTCATGATATATGTTTATGTTAATGTTTTGCAGAGTGTCCATTCATGTCAATTACTATGCCAGACAATGTTGTATGTACATTTGATCAAATGTGCTTGGGAGTTGAGTGTTGTATGCATATTAAACTGGCAATATTCCGATCATCTATCAGTGTATTTGCTCGATTAGATCCTAAAGAAATGAAATTTGTCTATGGAATCAATAGCCATAAGTGGACAATCAAGTTAGCATCAGGATCAAGCTTCGATGGTAAGGTGAAATAACTGTGAAAAAAAACCCAGTATATCCCACATCTGACTTTGAAAACACTTTTGATTATGATTGAGTTTTTTAAAGTCATGTTTATAAGTAAAGTTATTTTCATGAGCATTTAGATATACTAGTAACTTCATAGAAGTTGATGTGAAATATGGTTAATGATATTTTGGTATGCAGTTGTAGAAGCATTTGCTCATCTCAATTCTATTGAGATTAGTTTGCCCGAACCCTCTCAGTCATGGTTCATTGTCTGAAACTTTTGCATCTATAGAAAATAAAGGATATGGGGTATTCATCCATGGCACAAAATCAGTATGTGCATAGCAAAAAACACAAAAAGTAAAGGAACGGCGATTTTATTGTTGGTATTCATCTCATGGTCACAGTGAGGCCTTCGACACAGAGCAAAACCTAGCACCGGTTTGAGCGGAGTTCTTTGAAAACTGACGATCACGTCACATCTGTGAATTGAAGAACAAATCCAATGATTAATATCAATCAAAGAAATCTGGTAAAGAAATGAAACATGTACTGTCATACATGTTGAAATTTGTGATTAGGTCAGTTTAAGGGCAACCTTTTATGATAAGTCAATGATATGTGGTATGTAGTTGTACAGCGCATTGGCATATCTGATTTTCTCTGCACCTTAAGTTATGGTTGTTTAAATTTGGACGTTTTGCATTTTCTACATGCAAAAGTATTGTCAGTTTTCTTTTGCCATCGGTTTGCGTTCGTCGTCTGTCGTCTTTCTTCCGTTAAATTTTCTTTGAAAATTCTCTTTCCTAAATCTCTTAAATGAATACAAATAAACTCATAATACATACCATGCTTACTATGATATTTCAACATTAGCATTGTACTAACAAAATTGCACACAGGCTAGACATATCTCTGTGTTAATAGTTTATTATTGCTACAGTGAAATTTCTCGGTGAAATAGTCCTTTTCATGTAAACTTTGAGGATAAAATGCATCTACGGGTGCCACATGTGGAGCAGGATCTGCTTACCTTCCCGGAACACCTGAGATCACCTGCAGTTTTTGGTGGAGATCATGTTGCTCAGTCTTTGTCAGTTTATTTTTGACTTATGAGTTTGAATGTCCATTTGGTATCCATCGCCTCTCTTTATATATATATACTTTATTTATAAAATCTTTTTTTCTTGCTTTGACACTTTTTTTTAAACACATTATTTATATGAAAACATGTATATAAGGGAGTATATTTGTTTGATTTACCTTTTGCTTTTTGGGTACAAAAAATATTCAGCTTTGATCTTTAAAATCAAACATGTATTCTTTTCTTTCTTTTGTTTATTTGAAGAATGCAACTTATTGCATATTCTAATGAGATTTATTTCTGATGTGAAAAAAAAGGTATAAATAAAAATTAAAAGGAGTTCTGTTAACATTTATGTTCCAAATTAAATACATGAATTAAAACATATTAATTTGTTCAAATTGTCACTGTTGGTAAGATTTGTTATTTAAAACAACGTTTGGTTATAGGTGTTGAAGGAGAAAAGCCTACAGGAATACAGTTACCAGTGTTTGGTGGTGTTGAAGTAATTGTCAGGTAAAGCATGATAGATAATTTCAGTATAAGTCATGTGATACTTCAAAGTTATCAAAAAAGTTGAAATGGCTAAATTACTTTAAAACCTGTGTACATAAACTCCCTATTAAAAGATAATTTTCAAAATTGTTAAAAAATCTTCAGAAATGTACAGCCATTGTATTATTGTGTTCCGTATTCTTCTTCGACGAGAGCTTTTTGTGTACAGTGAGGATCTTAATCATGACACTTCGGCAACCGCACAGTGCGAGTGCGAGGGAATACATGTGATGAAAGAAAAGGTAAAAATAACTTGAAAAGAACATAGTTTTAATTGAATCTGAAAGAAAACAATTAATTCGCCAAATCGTTAAATAACTGTTATGCCAAGGTTTAATTAATAATGGAAACGCATAGAAAATCAAAATAAAAACAAATAAACATCGTTCTTTCGTCTCAATTATTTTCCACGTGCTCCATGATTTTTTGTCGATTATACTTTATGGATTTGTAATAAATAAGAAAATACGTGAAAAAAGGATTAAGTTTAGTATATATGCATGGATTGATGTCCTAACATTATAAATAACAACCAGAATCTCGTTTCATATAACTTAAAACTACATTATGTAAAAAGTTATTTGTGGAGATATAAGTTTGATTAGATGAAAGAAGTGTAATTCTTTATTTTTTTAACAGTGTTGATATTTAAATTAATTTTGAAAATATACTTAGAAACAATGGAATTCTAGATATCTGATGTTTGTTGAAAAAGCTCATTTGTCGTTTGTGAACAGTAAGTGGAATACATGTTTTGCGAATAATTTAATTTATTCTATGATTTTTTTTTTGTATATGGCCTGATGCTTGTTAAGTCATCTAGTTTGTTATCAGGGGTAAACCGACTGCACCAGGATACATCTTTTACGATGAAAAATTATTAAAAGGACAACTTTTCGATTTTCTGCGTGTGTGTTGGGGGAGGGGGTAAGGGACGATTTTGGAAATGAGAATGCTAGCCAGGCTAAATTAAAAAAAAAATAAAACGTTATGAATATACAAACATAAAAATAGGTGAAATAAAATTCCATGCACGAAAAATACTCTTGACACATCTACCACTTGATACCAAATAGCATGTATAGGTTTTCTATGAGATCTATATCAACATTTTACTTGTCAAATAGTTAAGATACCACAAACAACATATATTGCAGCTCAATATGGACAAATGATGATAATTGATTGGTGCTTGCCTTTCAGTGTCAAATACTACAAAAATGTCAGGTTGAAAATGTGTAAGTGTGATTTGAGTTTTAATCATGCTTCGTACTAGACTTGACAAGCTAAGCCGCCGGAGTATTTTGTACCTGTTACCTCACTGGGTACAAAGGAACACTTGTAGTTAGAAACATTATTCTAACATTAATTGCTCCTATATATGTCCATCTTCATTAAAAGTGTTTTCATAAGACTCTGGGATTAAATAATCCAGTCTTAGAAGCCGTTAAAAGATGAGTAGATTATTTTCATATTTAATTTAACATAAGTAACCATGATAACTAACATTAATTACTGTATGATTTTGTAGGTACAAACTTGATAAAACTAGTTCTGAACTGTATGTTACACTTGGTGCAGGATTTTGTTACCAAGGGGACTATAAATCTTGTCTGATATTTATCAACGTATTAGAAAATGCTATGTTGGCCATTCCAAACATTCGAACAGGAGATAGAGTAGAATGGCCGAACAGTTAGTATTTATATTTTGATTTGTATTAGGTAAATTATTACAAAAAATCAATATAATTGGAATATTGTAATTCAGATATTTTTGGAAGCAAATATTAATAAAAAAGGAAAAAAATGCGAAGTCAGTTATGGCGATTTCAAGACAACCTGCATACAGATATATATATCTGATATCATAGTGCGAGTTCTTATTATTGCGATACTCTCATAATTTCATTACATGTATGTTTCACAACAATCCGCTAAAAACAATCGTGCGTCATTCAAAAAATTAACCTTCATATCAAAATGAAATTTTACATTCGTGATGACACGTGCTTCCACAAAAAAGTGCACAGGTAAATAAAAGAAAAACTTGATAAAACATTTTTTTCATGGTCTTATTAGCATAAAAATGTAATTATAAGAAATGAATGTTTTTTCTTGTAATTTTATTGGGGTGTAAAAGTGTTGATCGTGCACACATTTTTAGAATGAAGCGCGGAATTCATACAAACTCTGCTTCGGTCAACACTTCAACACCCCAAAAAAATTACAAAAGAAGCATTCATTTCTTAATTAATTGCATTATTCGCAATAATAAAAACCTTACAATGATTTCTGAATTTACAGTACAGTAAAACATGTCTAGACAACCATCTGCTGTATGCGACCCCTTTTCAATCTCAAATCTTTAAAGAGTTCCTATAGATTTCAAATATTAAGCGACAATCTATTTGACAGGAATAGACACCCTAGTAAATTGTTTGAAACTACCACCAGCACTGATTTAAACAACAACTTCTCACTTTGATATATTAAGGAAAGGACTACTTAAATAATCTTGCCGCTAGTATATGATACTGGAGTATAATAAAACAAGAATTATTTGTGTGATGTTAAATACAAAATAAAATATAAAAACAAGCATGAAAATTTTTTTATATGATGCGATATTTATATTACAACACATACAATTGTACATACAATATCAGTACAGTATAATTCATTTTTATTAGAACATGCCAAAAAATAAAAAATAATATAACAAAAATACCGTATTCCAAAGAACATTCTAAATTCAAAATGGAAAAACCCTTTATCAAATGGCAAAATCAAAAGCTCAAACACATCAAACGAATGGAAAACAACTGTCATGTTCCGGACTTGGTACAGGCATTTTTTTGTGAAGAAAATGGTGGATTAAACCAGGTTTTATAGCTAGCTAAAACTATCACTTGTATGACAGTCGCATAAAAGTCCATTATATTGACAACAATGTGTGGAGAAAACAAACAGACATAATAGGTAAAAATGTCAAAAAATGGGGTACAGCAGACAAAATTGTGTTATAATCTTAATCACTATAAAAACTAATAACTATTTCAACAAAGATAATGGCGTGTAGACACTCTATAGATAAAGTACATATGCAAAACGAAAGACGGGAATACAAGAACGTCCACAGCACAATTGCGGGATGTATAAAAATCGAGCCACGTCAAAAGTATATCACATTGTACACAAGTAAAATGGACATAACAGTATAGTTGAAAAATATACAAAGATATATATAAGGAACAATGTAACAAAATCATGTGCATACATTAATCCTTCTAGTCAAATGAGTGAGACTGTGTTAATACAATCTGCATTAAGAGACCACTTTTGTCTTTTCCATTAGTGATCTCTTAATTAAGTCTTTCGCCTGTATGCTTTTAATTAGCCACTCTCAGGTGTCAAAGTGAATCAGTAATGTGTATTAAATCAATTATTGTAATAGACACTGGTAGTAAAATAATTCATAACAGCAAGTAATATCTGTACTCAAATTATCAAGCTCCTATTATATTGTCAGGAAATGCATAATTCAATTTGTTTTGATGTGAAACAAAATTGCCGAAATGTAATTGTCCTTGCAATTATGCACTGTGACACCTTGTGATGGCAACTCTTTCTGCAAGAGAAGATACAGAAAATACCAATTTTATCTTCAGATTCTCTTGCAGTTTTAGAGTCCATCGTGTATTCAATAAAAAGCAACTGACAATTCATTTCTGCCAATCCCAATAAGAAATTTTACAACTTTTCATGTCTATATCTACTTTTTAGCAAACAAGAAAAAGTTCTTTGGTGAACATTTACTGGAAGGAAAACTTAAGTCAGTAGGGAAGGAAGTTACGAAAAAAGAGAAAGAAGAAATAACAGAGAAACTGTTTAGTATATTAGGCTTGCCTGAGGTATAGTATCATGAATAGCGCATTAACCATATTAACAACAGAAAGTTATTGTATTTCATCATATCTGTATCACTCTATTTCATATTCGCAGAATACGTCTGAAGTGTTGAATTACTCCACAGGACGCCAAGCTTCATTTGAAGCCATTACTGACACTATGATGGATATCTTTGAACTGAAGTTACAATCTTGTAAAACACTTTGACTTTGAAGCAATACTATGATTTTCTGCCTAAACTCATATAGATAATTTATATTTATCTTTAAAACCAGAACATGATGGGTTGCAAATTTTTATCGGGCAGATTTATTTACTTACAACAAATAATAGATAGTTATTTTAAATCTTCAAAAATAAACTTGAAGGTAATAAGTAATTGTTTAAAAAAAAAGTTATAATTAAACATAATTAGCTCAATGGTCATAACACAATTGCTAGGAAGACAGTTTTGTTGTTGAAAAAAAATCAGTACCTGATTTAAACCCCCATTTTTTAGCTCACCTAGCCCACAGGTCCAAGTGGGCTTTTCTCATCATTTGGCGTCCGGCGTTCGTCGTCCGTGGTTGTCCGTCGTCTTGAACTTTTACAAAATTCTTCTCTGAAACTATTGGGCCACAATCATTATTGTGGTATAGTTTTAAAAATGTGTCCGACGATCCCGCCTACCAGCCAATATGGCCGCCATGGCTAAAAATAGAACATTTTGTTGTTGGGGTGCTGCCTCTGAATTGGTAATTTTAAGGAAATTTTGTAGATTTTTGATTAACATCTTGAATATTATTATAGATAGATATAAACTGTAAATAGCAATAATGTTCAGCAAAGTTATTGCCCTTTATAGTCAATTTGTAACAATTTTTCGTAATTTTTTGTAATCTTTTACAAAAATCTTCTCCTCTGAAACTGCAGAGACAAATTTAACGAAACTTGGCCACACTCATTATAATGGTATGTAGTTTAAAAAATGTGTCCGATGACCCCGTCTTCCAACCAACATGGCTAAAAATAGAACATAGGGGTAAAATGCAGTTTTTGGCTTATATCTCTAAAACTAAGGCATTAAGAGCAATCTGATATGGGTTAAAATGTTCTTCAGGTTAAGATCTATCGACCCATAAATTTTCAGACGAGTCAGACAACCCGTTCTTGTGTTGCTGCCCTTGAATTAGTAATTTTAAGGAAACTTTGCAGTTTTTGGTTATCATCTTGAATATTATTATGGATAGAGATAAACTGTAAACAGCAATAATGTTCAGCTGACCAAAATTGTCAATTGACCCCTTAAGGACTTATTGCCCTTTATAGTAAATTTTTAACAATTTTTCGTAAATTTTTGTAATCTGTTACAACAATCTTCTCCTCTAAAACTACTGGGCTAAAACCACACTTGGCCACAATCATTATTGGAGTATCTAGTTTAAAAAATGGAGTTAGTGTCCTTAAATGACAAATTTTACCATTTTTTTCTCCATTTTTGCCTATTATCTTGAAAACTATAATAGATACAGAAAACATTAAAATGCAAAAAAAGATCAGCAAGACAAATTCTACAAATAAGTTCACATTGTCGAACGTCAGCTGATTCCTTATCAGAGTTATTGCCCTTTGATGATGATTTTTACCATATTTTGGGGTTTTTTGCCTTATATCTTAAAAGTTATAATAGATAGATGGCAACTTAAATAAGCAAAAATGATCAACAAGACAAGATCTACAATAAAAACATTAAAAAAGAAATTGTCCGACGTCTCCTTGGAGTTATTACCCTTTAATGACAATTTTTATTTTTTTTTTTTGGGGGGGGGGGGGCTTTCATGATAAAAGTTATAAAATAGACACTTTAAATCACAAAAATTATCAGCAATGCAAGATCTACTAACAAGTCACATTTCGCTGAGATCGGTAATAATAGGAGTGATTGCCCAGCCCCTTGAATAAGGAATTATTTACCCTCTTTTGTGTTTTGAGCAAAACTAAAGAAGATAGAGAGAAACTAAACAGACTAAATGATCAGCAATACAAGATCAACAAAACAGATTTTTTTCATGAATTCTATTCTCGTCTACAATGTTGGAGAGTGTCCTTTGTTGAATATGCACATAGACCAAGGTGAGCGACACAGGCCCTTTAGAGCCTCTAGTTCGTGAATGAGAACGTCTTTCACTTACAGATAGATTACAAGTACTTTAACTAACCAACGAAGTATAATGACGAAAGTGGAATTTCCATCTGTTTAAAGACAAAATGAAATGTTTCTCTTTACTCGATCTGTCCTATATAATTTCCACTCAAAGTTATTATACTGCCAATCATAACCTCCAAAACCAGATACTTAATTGTCTATTTGTTACAGCTCTGACAAAACAGAAAATTTCTTCACTGCAGTTAATGAAATTGATGAAAACATAATGTTTGATTTACAGGATATATACATTTTACCAGGGTGGTTATTAATAATGATACATTTGCACGTTTGGAAAAGTCAACTTTTAAGAACTCAATTACATAACCTATTTATCCAAATTTGATGCTCAGTTAAAAAGAGTGAAACCTACCCATTCTCAAGTTCTCAACCAGAGAAACAGCATAATTTATCCGGGCTTTTAGTGAAATACTCAAGTAATGTATGTATTTAGCCGCAAAGGCCACGCATACACAGATCCCTGTGATAAGATTCCAAATTTCTTAACCGTTTCGGTGAAGAAGTTCATATGAATGCAAATAGTTAAATATATGTATACTTTATAGAAGCTGATAACCACAAAAGGACCTTGTCGAAGACCCGATTTAATGACAAAGAAACAGTTGAATGATGAGTTGCAATCTCGAGGCTTGAGTTTAGATGGCAGTTTAAAACAACGGCAATCTACATTAGAAACAGATGATAGAAGTATGAATAAAGAAAATGTAGAAAAATAGTCGTTATATATTATTCAGTTGAAGGGAAGTAGTTATTTATATCAGAAACCACCGACACATACGTTTACCTTGTTCTTCCCTGTTGTCAGTGCTATGTAGATTGCTGCATGCAGCAGCACCAAGACTGTAAATATATCCCCTCTTTCTTAAATACAGTGTTGGTTCCAGTGGATCTGTGCTTCAGAAATTCTCTAATGTTTCATAAATCTAAGGTAGTGTTTTAGGAGAACTGACAAGAGACACAATCAAACAAAATCCATTACCAAATAATTCGAAAAAAGACCATAAATATACAAGATAAATAGATTTACAAAAAGACACATGGAATGGGATAATAGGATGATATTAGCGATGGTGTCTTTATCACAAAGAAAACACTATTGAATAACATTTGCATGGTTTTTTTTCACACAAATCTATGTGTTTTTATTACACTACAATGTTATTTCTAGAACCTTGAGTTTTTTTTCTTCCCAGCATGACTTCAACTAAACATGGTTTTCAATATATTTTTTCAGAGTGCAAACATCTAACTCTACCGGACATCAGAAATAAAAGGCTCAGAAATCTTCTGTATTATTCTGTATCACCTACCTGTTTACGATTGGATGCTTGCTTCAGTCCACTTATAAAAATCGGCAGGAAAAAGATAAGGAAATCATTCAAAGCGTTCGTAGATGTTGATAACTGTAACTTTATTGTGACGCTTGGATTTGAAGGATGGAGAAAAAGTGTAATTTTAATCAGTTATGATTGGGGTATGTCAAATAAGAATAATATGACAGTAGTCACAATGATATATGAGGTAACGTGTAAAATATAAAGGGAAGCAGAAATTATTAAAAATTTCAAATTATGACCCCAAAAAAAACCAACGAAATCTTGAATTAAAAAAAGACATGAGAAACAGAGTCAATAAGTTTGAATTAAAGGGAAAATAATTCGAAAACAAGTTTATCAGTACAACCTTTACCTATAATGATACTGTATATCCTGAAAAGTCTCCTACTAATTGATGTTTTCATAAATTTTTACAAAAACATAAATTATTTAAAAAAAGGCAGTTACAGATTTAATGGTTGGTGAATGAAATGTAGAAGGTGTCATAGTTCACGTCCTTTAATTGTCTTGCCCTTATGATAGAAATAGGAGTTAGTTGGTCATTTGCCATATCAATCTTAATTCCCTAGTAATGTAGCAGAAATAGACATTACAAACAGCTCCGATTCTTTAAAAAAAGTCATGGTTGTAAATGCTGATAATATTTTATCAAATGTTTCTAATTTGTTATGTTATTTTTACTTGCACTTTCCTTAGGCAAGAGCAGATCTAGTAGACACTCCTCTCTACCATTTTGTCTGTCTTCCACCTGTTTATCAGAAATACATAGATGGTACATGTACCTTGTTGGTGTCATGTGTAGTTCCATCATTGTTCCTTCAAAATTATTCAAACTTTGAACATGTATTGCACACAGACTGAAGATTTGCCCTTCATATTTCGAACAGATTTAAACAATGATTTTCTCCGTTTTCTCATTTGTGGAACTAAGGTCTTTTTCGTCTTTGAATGCTTTAATAGGTTCTTAACTTGTGTTTACGTAACTATAACAGATTTCTTTAACCTTGTCTAAACTTTGCAAAGTGATTGCTCACAGGACCCAATGGGAGTTTTTCTCTCAAATTTTCAAAATTGTTTTATATACTTTTTGGTCAATAGCAATTAAAAAATGATGGTGATCTGTTAGTTTCCTAATCGAATCACTTATATGCTAAGACAGAGGTATTGCTTTGCATGTGACACATATAACCGACCCTATTTATTTTGTTTTAAGCTCGACATATACGACCATGTGCTGCTGTTGTCTTTTACCATACATTGTATGGAAGGGAATTTTGCATTGTTCTTTATATTTTCTCATTTCTTGAAGATAATAGCCTATTAATTGTTGCAGTTTAATATATTTTAATCGACAAAACCCTACATTAAGTAATGATAAAATACATTTTCCCATGTTTTATGTAATTTATTGTAGTTAAAACGTAATGTGTATTTATTTCAGTTTTGAACAACATGTCTATTTATTTCAGTTTTGATCAAAATGTCTATTTGTTATTTTTTGCCATCCTCAATGGCGTTTAAATATGACAGTTGAACTGACAATGCTAAGTAAAAATAATTCATAGATAGTATTTGCAATTTTCAAGACTAAAATTGAATCATTGTATGTCTGAGAATTTTCTTTACACCCACCAGAACTACAATAGTCAATGCATTTTGAATGGTTCGCCTTTTATAACAATCTTTTCGTTTTAGAATTTTCCAATAATCTTGATAGCACTGAAAGCTGATTTTTAAAACAGCACAATGTAACACAGGTCCAGACACTTTAATGGTCTTGTTTGGATTCTGAAAAAACATAAGAAATAAATGCAGTATTGAAACTTAAAAGTTTCAGCATGGTAAATTTTAATATGTGATTGTCAATATCTTTATATGAAGGAAAGAAAGAAGAACTACATATAACAGATGAAATAAAAGTAATGTAAGTAATTTACTAAAAACAAATATGATTAAAATTAGACATTGCCTGAAAAGGTCAGCTTAACATTTTGATGCTTATTACGAAGAAAATAACATACTGAGTCAGAATATTGGAATCAGTTAACGTTTCAAGCATTCAAATCATCTGATGTTCTTACAAAAAGAACATCCAGAAATTGGTTGTTACTCTTTATAAGGAAACAGAAAGAATGAGCAAAAGATTGCAATAAACAGGTTGCAAAAGCAACTGAATTGAAGCAGCTCTTAAAAATTACAAGACTCCCACTAGATATTTAATCCAAATTTGTAAATGAAACTTTGTCAATTTGTTTGATATCTGCACACATTCCATGTTTCATTACACATATTTCAGGTCTTCTAATAAGTTCATTTTTCAAAGAAATTTTCATCAAATATGTCACTTTGTGTTGATTTGTTACGCAATGTATTTCACTACTACATATATTATCAAACATAATTTTCCAAGCATGGTCTCCTGATCGATCTTTATCTTTAATATTGCAGTTACATCAATTCTATTTTTGCCTGTACATGCAACCTTCAAACTAGTTTTACCTGCAAAGAAATAATTTAATTCGTTAGTTTTTTGCTTGATAGTATTTATGTTCGTAAAGTCAAGTTTTTGGTTTCTAATGTGGACTTAGTGCCTAATTTAGATTTTGTAGAGAGAGTGCCACGGTCTCTGCACGTTACTCTTGTAACAACTCTTTGAGGGGTATGTAGGTGACATGTTGCAAGGCGTAACAGTCATTAGACTGCAACATGACTTTTATATGTGGTCCTATATAAAATAAGAAACTTTAAAGAAGGATTGCACATTTTTTTAGACGTTGTGCACCTGTTATTAGTGTTCAATTATTGTTTGAGAGTTCCTTCGTCTTTTTTTTTTTTTTTTTTTTGGAGAGATGGTTTTTCAGCAATCCAATACGATTGTGAATTATTCCTGATGGTGAAATTTTTACAGAGTGTGAATTCACATGGAGCATGATGTTAGCATAGCATGAGACCCGTACTCTTTCGATGCACCTGGTCTCACTTCTTTACTAGTTCATGCGATTCCCTCAGTTTCTTTTTGTTAACTGGATTTGCTTCTTCCTAATCGATTTACCAGATTTGAATATAGGTGAACTACTGTCGCCTAAATTTATAACATACCATAGTTCAAAGTGCAATGCCTCTCAAACTAAATATTTTGTGCTTTTATCGTTGCAAGTGATTTGAATTATTCCCCAAACACAAACCACAAACACAAACACATAATTTCTTACGTTTTTATTATTTCTCCATGTAAGTATATTGTTTTTCATATTGACATGTGTATAGCAGTATAACAAATAAGATTATTTTCAAGTTAACTCATTAAAAATACCAAGCCAATTGGCGCTATATTTCACTTCATTTAGATAATCACCGTAAATAAAATTTAAAAAAGCAGTAAAGTACTACAGTCATGAATCGTTAGAAAAAAATTGTCTATATTTTGTATTTTGTAAAAGCTTAAAGGAAATCTTTTGCACATTGTTTTGGAAAATACAAAACTAGGTGAGTTAATTGTTAAAGAACTCGTATTCGTGAGAAATATTCTTCTCTCGATTTATCTGAATATGGTATGATTGCTAACGTAACAACTATCCAGTCAAAATGATATTGGGTAAACAAGTTATGTTACGTTTGTATGCCTCAACGTTTTATACACTCTGCTCTAAAAGAACTGGATTTTACCTAAAACAACATGTGTGCATACTTTACCGCGTGATGTATTTTAACATTCATCAACTTCCTATTCACAGAATATTTATATGTTCCTACACATAATGATCATGAATGAAATTTGTTGTTTTAGCTCACCTTCCGAAGGAATGTGAGCTTCTGCCATCAATTGGTGTCCGTCGTCGTCCGTCGTCGTCGTCGTCCGTCCGGTGTAAACTATTTCAAACATCTTCTCCTCTGAAACTACTGAACCAATTCCAACCCAACTTAAGCTGAATGATACATAGGGTATCCAGAATAAGTTTTTAATTTATGTTCTGTTTCGTCAAAATACATGGCCGCCATGGCTAAAAGTAGAACATTGGGGTAAAATGCAGTTTTTGGCTTATATCTCAAAAACTAAAGCATTTAGAGCAAATCTGACGAGGTTAAATTTTTCATTAGGTGAAGTTCTATCAGCTCTGAAATTTTCAGATGAATCTTATAACCCTTTGTTGGGTTGCTGCCACTAAATTGGTTATTTTAAGGAAATTTTGCTGTTTTTGGTTATTATCTTGAATATTATTATAGATAAAGATAAACTGTAAACAGCAAAAATGTTCAGCAAAGTAAGATCTACAAATAAATTTTATATGACCAAAGTTGTCAATTGACCCCTTAAGGAGTTATTGCCCTTTAAAGACAATTTTTCACAATTTGTTCATCTAGTTTGCTTACTTTAAAAGATCTTCTCCTTTGAAACTGCTGAATCAATTTCAGCCACACTTGGGCTGAATGAGTTTCAGGATATCTAGTATAAATTATGTATTTTATTTCCTTGTACGTTAAGAAACATAGCCACTATGGCTAAAATGAAACATAGGGGTAAAATGCATATTTTTGCTTTGAAGAAGATATGACAGATACAAAGAACATTTAAATGGCTTTTTTAAGCCACTCATTAATATATATTGAAAAGCAAAAATAATCATTGATGAAAGATTTAAGCAAAAAATTACAGGTGAGCGATTCAGGCTCTTGAGAGCCTCTTGTTTGTTTTTCTCAGGAACTACGAACCAAAGCTTCCTGAAATTAAACATTATTACGTTAGTTGTTATGTTTACCAATCAATGGACTAAATCTTTTGTGAGCTATGTAAGATGAAAATGACTCTCTTTAATTACATCCTAAACTTTTTTAATAGGTTTTCCATCAGTCGAATTGATGACAAAAATCAGTTTTCTCTACATCTTGGAGTGATGCTGTCTATTCAGGGATCAGTGTTGATTGATGAAATGTTTATTCAAGATATGCATGTACCGATTCCAATTTGTGATTCTAGCTTCACATTGCCTGGTAAGTACACGTTATGCAAGTTTTAATTTTCTTAAAACAAAATTACTAAATTCCTGCACCTTTCTTTCAATATAACCAAATGAAAAAAAAAACAACACTTGTATTGCTTTTAATCATATTATAGTATCAGAATATGTCCAGTTCCTGGAATTGATATATCATATAAAAATATTTTCATCAAATGATATCATTTCCATTGTATTCAATATTTTTTCGCAGCATTGTAAAAACTTACTGTACATGTAAATCTTTCTTGATTTTGTAATTCACAGTATGATTTGGGGTATTTATTATCACTTTTACAACGTACAAGAAATAAATAAAAAATGAAAGTGTTTACCCTTTTTTTATAATTTGCTTTTGTTTAAACTGAAATATCATCTAAATACATGAAAGTGATGAAAAAGTTCATGATAAGATTTCACTCAGATATAGCTTGGAAAATCTTGCTTGAAGAAACACTAACTCATATTGATAAATTTACAGGAGATGGGTCGTTAAAAGGACTGGTTGAATCTTTGGGTAACAAAATGACATCTGAAGGATTCAAACTTGTTTTGAAACAATTTGGATTAGATGTAAGTACAATGAAACAATTTGGATTAGACCAAATTACTAATTCCGTTGTTTAGTTCTTTATTGGATAACAAGTTATTGTTATAAAACTGAATCATACACAATTCTGTAAAAATTTGTTTAACCAGCGTCAGAAGGCTGATCTATGTTACTTTTCAAATGTTGACATCCACTTCTATTGTTGTTTTTTTCAATTAAAGGACAAAAAAGCAATATCAGGTACAAGATACAAAACTATTTAAAAAAAATAAACTATATAGAGAATAAAAAATCCAAATACAGAGAACAATGCACTGAAAGATTAAAGGCAACAAAATAGGTGAACTAAAATCATAAGTCACAAAAACGTAAAAGCATAAAAGAAATATACAAATTAGAGACACTTGTAGGAAAGTTTTCGGCACTCCAAACTCCAAACTAGTAGTTGTATCAGAAATCCGGACTATATTGATGCCTCCCAATGAGTCTGATATTAAATGCCTTTCTTGATGGTATCAAAAAAGAAAAAAATCACATCCAAGAGACGAAGACTGAAAAACAAATAAACTTGTATTCTTTCTGTATGAGTACTGGTTCTCAAACTTTGATGATCCTAATATGTCATATGTCTATTTTATAAAATTGTATATATTAAAACAGTATTAAAGTTAAGGATTAACAGGCTTTAAATTGTAATTTGATGGTTGCAAAATGAATTTACTAGTGAAATGTTAACAGATGATAATTTTGAATCAGTTACAACATCTCCGCTTGCTCAGATAATTGCTGACTATAAGTCATGCAATTGATGCCATGGAATTTGTGGCGTTATCTTTTCCAAATGAATGTTACAAACAATCATTCTCTAGAGTGTGACATTACTAAAATTTTTCAATTATCTGACTTTAAAAGGGAGTATGTCTACAAGAAATATATTTTTTTACTCAAATCCACGTTTTTTCCTTGCAAAGCAATTTTCAACTGTGGAATTTTTATATCTGTTGGTTGTATGTTTTTCTGTATAACTAAAATATTCTGATTTATCTTAATCTGTGCTTATGTTACTAGAAGTTGTTAATACTGGTATTTTATTATGCAAATTTTAGTTGTTAGTACTGGTACTTTACTATGTAAATTAAAAGTAAAAGTTTAAGATACATGTTTGTGTTGTTTTACTATTTATGTCAAATTAAGAAAATTGCTTTACTAATAAAATATACTGTGGATTCATAATTGTGACTTGACTATAGGTTTTATCCTTTACCTATACATATTGTTCAGCAAGATTGTAAAATTGACAATACAATTTGGACATTAAAATTGATTAGTTGGTATTGTTAGAGTTCATGAAAAGGTGATCACTTATGCATTTAGAGTCGACTAT